TGGGGGCGGAGAAAAGGGAAATATAAGGCCTGCTCCCTCCTACATTAAACGAGCCTGCAGCACCTTGCCTAGTGCTTGCTTCTACCTGACTCCCAGGGTCTGTGTGTCGTGACTCCGCGCCTCTTGCCCCCTCAATTGGCAGGGGACTTGATCCAGGTCAGGGTCTTCACAGCTGGCCTGAGGAGAACCCGCAATACTTTCTGATCAGTAACATAACATGTAATTACACAGTAGAGTTCCTAGCCCCTGTATGCTCAGTAAACAAGAGCCTGCGGACTAGTTTACAAGTGACAGGCCGCCTGTGAATATGTAGGTAGGTGTAGCAGAGTTGGGGATAACCACTACCTTAGATGGCTTGAATTTGGTGCAGAGAAATGTAACTATCTCCAAGGCAGTGTGGCATGGCTTCCCAAAGGCTCCATGTTAGCACTAGCCTCATTATTAACCACTCCTTCCTGTTCTGTCTCTGGGCCTCAGTTTCTTCATCTGTCAGATGGTGTGTGTCTCTGTGTGTCACTGGCCTAGGTCATCTGAGGAACTTGAAACAGAAACCAGTCCCTGAGTTCTATGTCCCACCATTCTAATCTGAGGTGAGGTCCCACACTGGGAACTACTGTTCAGTACCCTGGAGATTCTAAATGGATAGCCCAAGAGTCCCCAATGCCCAGTTAATCTAGGAGCTTCCCTTCAGCTCCAACCTCCCAATCTGAGTAAGTTGTATGTGTACTCCGGGACTGGTGGCACTTGGGTCTTTGATGGAGCATGCCAAGCCACCCAAGTTGAAATGCAAGCATGAGGGGGCTCTTGTAGGGGGACAGATCACCTACTTGGATTTTCTGACTTTGGTCATATAAAATGGATTCTAAAGCAGGTCAGGTTCCCATTATAAAAGACAAACCGCTCTGTGTAATCAAAAGAAATAACAGAGCCAGGCGTGGTGGCGCACACCTTTAATCCCAGCACTCGGGAGGCAGAGGCAGGCGGATCTCTGTGAGTTCCAGGATAGCTGGGGCTACAGGGAGACCCTGTCTCAAAAAGACCCCCCCCCAAAAAGAAATAACAAATCCACTGTTAGATGGGTTGAGAGCAAAATAGGTTAAGGAACTGCACCCTAAAAGAGAGCAATCTTCCTAGATTTCTACTTCCAGCTCACTTCTAGTGTCACCGGGATATTTGATGTCCTAAAGACTGAATGTATCTAACACAGTAGAAGAAAGCAGAAAATTGGTCCATACCTACAAACTTTACCTGTACGAAGGAATGAAATTCTACAGCTGCTGCAGTCCTCTGTCTGCTCAAGAGAGTGGAGTATGTTTGCTGGCATCTTTCCCACTCACCCTCTCTGCAGCCACTGCACTGTGGGGTACCCCACACCTCCATTCCTAAGGGAGCCATCTTCATCTGAGGTCATGGGTTCCTGTCATGTTTTAGTGCTTTTAGCTCTGGTTTTTCTTGTTAATAGAAATATAAATAATGTAGATGAATGCAACAAGCTCCTTCTTCTACAGCTAGGCTTTTGTTTTATATCACGTCCTTTTTAGGGGGGGGTTATGTTTTTTGTTTTTTAAAACTTTGAATCAAAATCAAAATGGTATTCATTGCACTTTTGACATGCATAAAGTCTGTAGTCTAAACAGCTTCTTCACACAAAAAATTTAAAATTAATGTTGAAAACTGAATCTTTAGCAGAACACCCTGTGTTCTGACAGCAGGTGTCTTTGCTCCCAGTTACGTCATATACCCTGTGTTTTCTGTAAGTTTGTTCTGCTGCATCGCCCATGGCAGCCTTCTGCATCACAGTCACTGAAGGTGACACACTGGTCACATGTTCACTTTGGTCAAAATGGATCACTCAGTTCTGTTGTTTCAGGACAGAACTTCCATATGTGACAGTTTAATACCAATGACCATCACTCAGATCTGTCATCTAAACATTCACTGAAAACAGCGATTTGGGGGCGGGGAATGTGCTTTAGTTTGAAGTCATTTCAGACTTGAAGAAATGAATGCTACAAAGGATTTTTACATCATTCACACAATCCCCAGCTGTTAACATTTTACTTTCTCTGCATTATTTTCTCTTGGCAGCTACACTGGGTGTTTCTTTCTTTTTTTAAAATTATTGAGAATTTCATACAGGCATATAAGGTGTTTTGACCAAATCCATGCCCACTCCCTCCCCTCCAACTCCTCCCATATCTCCCCATCACTTTTGTTTTTCTTGATAACTTCATGTACTCTTTCTTCTTTTGGCTACTCTAACATTCCCCCCTCTGAAGAGGTAACCCTAAACTCTTTTAAGAATTAGATATGAGCTCCCAAATACTTTCGACATTTTGGGCCTTTGGAATGGAGTTTGTTGCTAAGACGCCCAAGGACATTTTGACTTCTAGCCAAAAGACTGGCTGCTTTTCTTTGGGGTCTTTTTACACTAACTGCCTAGCCAATTCCTACCTCCTATTCTTATCACACCATCCTCTGAAGAGGTTACCCAGTTTGCGGATAGGGAATCAGGATGCAGACTGCTCTGGCTTCTTCCATACTGAACAGGGACACAGAGTGAGGCAATTGGAGTACCCCTTCAGTGGGTCTATCTAAAAGACTCCCAAATTGCATAACTCTTATCTGTAGGGGGCAAAAGAAAGTCCTTGATCCATGAATAGAAGATGTGAAGGAGAAATAGGGCTGGAGAGATGGCTCAGTGGTTAAGAACACTGACTGTTCTTGCAGAAGACCCGGGTTCGAATCCCAGCACCCACATGGCAGCTAACAACTGTCCATAACTCCAGTTCCAGGGGATCTGACAGTCTCTTCTGTCTTCCGTGGGCATTGCACGACACAGGTGCACTTACCTAAATGCAGGCAATACACGCATACACATAAAATAATAAATTTTTTTAAAGGAGAACTAAAGGCAAGAGTAATTAGCATTACAAGTTCTAGAGAGGGAACTCGAAAAAAGAACAGGGAAAATTTCAAATGTTCATATGAGAGTCCATTGGAATTTCTTGACAAGAGCTTCCAAAAGCATCCTTCTTTTGAGTTCCTCCTCATTTTTCTTTTGTCTGCCAAGGCTGGACTCGAGAGTAATCGATTCAGGATCTGCTTTCAGGCATTTTGATAGCACCACATGGAGGCAGGATCCGGGCAAAACACATCACTCTTAAACCGTAACCTTTCACTCTATAGTTTTAATAATTCCAACCCTGTTTCAAAGTCCCAAATCCAAATTTCCTATGAGACTCATCAGGGCAATCTCTTACCTGTGATCCCATATAACATCAGAAAACAAGTTACATAGTTCCAATATACAATGGCAGAAACTAACATTTCTATTCCAAAAGAGAAACGGGGACCTAGTGAGGAAAGATTAGACCAAAGCAAAACCCAGCAGGATAAACACCAAACCCTACACCTTCTTGTCTGGCATCTAGGGCTGATGATGGACTCATCTGGCTCCAGAGGACTGGGAAGCCCTATACCTCCTGTTCTGCTGGCTGCACACACATACCTCTCTCTTAGGCCATCCTATAGCTCCCTACATGGGTGTTCTATTGTTCTGTCATCCCCAACATCTGGGGTCTCCACTGCAACTCAGGCTCCCACAGTGGCCTCTCAGAGCTTCTTTGCAGGCACTCTGATGTCCTGTATAGATGTTTGTCTTCTGAAAATTAACAAAAAAGAAGAATATGAAAATTTCATAAAAATATAAGTGCTAAAAGGAAATCTAAAGCGATGTGCTGGAGTGAGTGGATGGGCTGCTGGTTAAGCTGAGACATGAAAATGGGCTAAACATCTAGTGATTATAGGAGCGGCTTTCTGGGAGAGGAGACACAGGGTGAAAGAGCCTTGCCTGAGGCAGGATCCAGTTTAATATACTGGGGGAACCTAGTCAGGGCCAGCAGGCTGGAACATAGGGAGCAGGGGTGGGGAGGTGAGCAGGGCCAGAGGAAGCCTTTAGTTTAACTTTTTGTTTGGGAAACTATGAAATTAGAAGGAACAGAGCTTTCTGAGGGCTTAGAAGTGAGAATAGAGGAAAGGAGAGCTTTGATGACTTTTACAGCAAGTACCTCGGGAGGCAGGAGGAGGTCCATCAACAGGCATGGGTCGGGAGCTGTGGAGGCCTTGGTCATGATTCGTGGAGGTTCATGAGCTCCCCCGCGGACCTGTTGGAGAGGCAGTGAGCCATTGAGACCAGGCTTGGGCTGAAAGGGATGAACACAAAGGTGAAACTGAGTCTCAGGACCAGAGTGCCTTGGGAGCAGGAGAGCAGGAGAGGACATGTGCATTTAACGACAGGGACTTTTCTGGAAAGGGCTGAGAGCAGTCAGAGGACTTGGGTGGAAAGTGCCTTAAAGGTGCTGCTTTAACAAGCTCTACTGTATGCTTGCTCTAGGGTGAACTCAAATGACAGGCAGACCCAGCTCTGGCTGACTGGGCTGAGTCTCCCATGCTTGGTCCTGAGCCCATCCAAGAGCACTGGGCATGATGACCTGGGGCATCTGTTTTGCTCAAGGTCCCCGAGTGACACTGCTGTCTTGGGAAGCTCGGAAGCTTCTCACTTCCAGAGAGTGGCCCAGGAATATATGTGGGAGGTATATATCCTCATCATGTGTGTGTGAGAAAGAAACAGGGACAGAGGAGAGAAAGGGGAGTGGGGGCATCGAAAGGGGTGGGCAGACACACAGAAGGGAGAAAGAGAAAGAGAGAAAAAGAGAAAGAGCAATTTTCTCTGTCTCTCTCCAGGGGTGGGGCTGCCAGAGTTCAGGACATCAGGTCTGTTCTGAGCTTTTGCTGTGTGTGCGTGCGTGTGTGTGTGTGTGTGTGTGTGTGTGTGTGTGTGTGTGTGTGGTGTTTGCATGCGCGTGTGGGGGGCGGGCACGGTGTCCCAGGAGGACAGAGTTTGCATTGATGAAAACCCTTCCCAGCTCTTTGACGCCTCTTTCCCGCCGCCTGAGCCCAGCCACTCAGTCCTGTGTGTCCCACACGCCCGCTCACTCACTGCCAGGATGGCATCTTGTCTGGCTTTGCGCATGGTGCTGTTGCTTGTCTCTGGAGTCCTGGCCCCAGCAGTGCTCACAGGTAAGAGCCTTAGCTTTGCTGCCACTAACTTTCTAGGGCCAAAAACTACATTTGGAGCTAAATTCTTCAGTACCTGTGGGGCATAAGTCCCTTACAGGAGGTGGACTGGCCAGCTGGGGTGATTCTGGGGGAGCTCCCACAAGACCAGCAGGTAGGAGCTGTATAGGACCAGGGGTGATGGCCATTGGAGCAGGAGGGGCCACCTGGGGAGCAGGCTAGGAGTATCTAGTTGTCTAGGATTCTGGGGGGTGGTATTTTGGCATTAGAACCCCTGAAGGCGTCCAGATCTGGGAGGAAGGAGGGTCCATCGGACACACAGCAAATGGCTGAGGGGGCCATAGCCCCAACGCTGAGTAAAAGACCACAGAGCCTTGTTGATTCCTTTTCAAACTGCAAACCCTTCTCTGCAGGTTTAAGTCCCAGGTGCTGTCCCTATGGTGGTAAATATTTCTGAGAGTCCTCTGCATATCAGGGAGGACACTAAACTGAGTCCTAAATGGCTGCATCTGGGGGCTGGTGAGAGGGAGACCCCAGCAGGCTCCTGGGATCCTGCATGGCAGGGCTGTCCCAGGTTGCCTTTAGAGCAGGGAGATAATCACAGGTAGGTTTTGTTCCTGGAAGAAAGCAATCTCCCACAGTTTAGCTGACATAGGGCTGCCTGCCTGCGTTCCCCGAGTGACTTAAGACCTTGCAGCCTGGGCTTTGGAGGTGTCTGTGTATGAAGGAGGGAAATGGCCTCTGTTGTGAACGCATGGCCCGTGAACTCCAGCCACACTCCAGGAGGCATGGGTGATGGTGGTGGTCTATGCCCTAGGAAGCTGCTCAAGGCTTGGCTCTGGCCACATCAGGGCTTCTGGCTCTTCCCTGCCTGTCTGTCTCATCCATTTCCTCATATGCAGGAGGTGACACCCACCACCCTGCCTCCCCCACAGGGGCTGGTGAGGCCTGACCAGGTCAGACATACAGAGGTCTCAAGATGGCCATGTGCCCAGCCAATAGTCAGTGCTGGATGAGTAGAGTCCCCAGCCCCTTAATTAAGTCCAGAGGAACAACCCTAGAAAGAGCATCCTCCTCCCGCAGGTTGGGATATACCAAGTCCTGAGGGGCGGGAGTGGTGTCCACTGGTGAAGCCTGCAGTACCCCTGGCATTGACTTATGACTTACAGTGTAGAGAGGTGTTTTCCATCCATCTGGGTCTCAGGGCTGGGACCCATGGACCTTCCTGCCCTAGTGAGGCTGCTGCCCGGTGGGCTCTATGGCCTGGGCCTCCTGTCCAAGTTCTTGCCGCCTTTTCCAGCCCAGGCCTCCAGCCAGAGCCCTGGTCAGACTGTACACACAGCATTGGTGGGTGGGCTTTCTGCTCACACAGAGGCTTTGCAGACAGCCAGGTCCTCACCTGGCCTCACCTCCCTCTTCCTTCCATGGGTCCTCCAAGAGCTGCAGGCCCACAGCAGACCTGCACATGCCAACCCTGCCCTGAGTCTTGGGGTTCTGGCTGTTCTGGGAGGGGGGAGATGGGGGGCTCTCAGAACCAGCGCTGGGCCCACAGCCCTAAGCAGGCCTGTACAAGGCCTATAGCCCTTCTCTCTCCTGGGCTGGTGTCCTGCAGCAGGAAGGCGGCACCACTGGGGCTGAGGCTTCCAGCCTCAGCTGGTGGCCACAGCCACTGAGGTGGGGGAGCAGGCCAGGTTGAGCAGGCAGGAGGCCAGGTTAGGGATGAAAAGGCCCTTCATGGCCATACAAAGGCTGTCTGTGAGCATGGGCGCCTGGCCTGGGGGCCTGCGGTCAGACCGACCGTTGAACAAACTTATTTACCAAAAGGCAGAACGATTTGGGTTGATGGGGCTAGGGGACAGCCAGAGGTGTCCAAGCTTATAGTACTGCCACCGGGTCTCCTCTGCCAGAGCAAGGAGTCCTACAACACTGTTTGCTCCCATGGTGTGGGCACCTTGTGGCCAGGGTGCAGAGAACCTTGTCCTCACTCAACCTACCCCTTCTATACCCTGCTCCCAGGGCCCTGTGCTGCTGCTCCTTCCTCTCATCCTCACCCCTCTCTATGGCACACTGGCTCATAGTAGATCCAGTTCCTGAATGGGTTGTTGCTGTTTCTCACCACTGCAAATCTGGAGAGCACTGAGTGCAGAGGGAAACAAGATGGCCTGGTCCTCAGCCCACAGCGACGCCTTTCCCTGATGGGCTAGCACAAGTTTAGTCCCTCGCCTAAAGTTTAGTACCTAGCAGGTACCACTTAGGCTGGCTAGGCCCTGTACCCAGAAACTCTGGGGGGCCCACCCTGGCCAGATGCCTGGCATTGGAGGTGAACTTTGGCCAGGGAGGGGCCTGTTTGCTTGTCTTGGGTGTGTGGTGAGCGAGAAGGGGACCAGTGGCTGCCCACATCTCAGGGCAGAGAGGCAGTTTATGGAGTCCCGACCTCAGGGTCTACTGTCAGCAGGCATATGCAGGGCTTTTCTCTGCCTGGCCCTGAGAGATTGATGCCAGCCTGCCTCGGACCTGGGGCCTTTCAGCCAGCAAATCCTGCCTTCTGTGACTGGGCCACTTTGCTCTCCTTCCAGAATGGTCTTCGTGGTTGGAGAGAGGCTGCTCCAAGTGCCAGCCTGGAGTTCTGTGACCAGGAAGCCTGCCCCAGTGGGTGCCAATGGCCTTCTGGGACCCCTTTTTGCCAATTTTTTCTTAAAAGGAGTTCTGATTTGGAGAAGCCCCCAGTAGTCTCTGCCTGAAAGGGGAGTCTCAGGACTGGCCTGGGCTTGTGAGAGATTGCAGTAGGGTGGGACCTAGGCAGCTAGGTGTCTGACAGAATTTTACAGTGAAAAAGATTCAAATTTTACAGAAAAGTTGTGAAAACTGTCTATTGAACTCCAGCACATCCTGACCTACTTACCAGTTACCAAGATTTTGTCACAATGCTCCGTCCCCAAATGCAGAATCATTCCAAACATCATTTGTCCTGAGTTCTTCCTAAGAACAAGCACACCCTCTTACCCAACCAGAGTGTGGTATCCAACCAGCACATGAACTCTTGACACCGTACTGGACTCCAGCCCTATCCAGACCTCACCAACAAATAAATCCCAAACATCTTTGATGGCACATCTGGCTTCCCATCCAAGTCTGGAATAAGTCTTCAGTGCCTTCCCTGACTGTAGCATTTTTGAACGGCCTGGTTATTTTGAGGCTGATCTGAGTCTTGGTTTGGCTGTGTGTCCTATTTGACAGGGGTGGGCACCATGGGCAGGAACACCCAGCATGTCCCTGGGTCTTCTCTGAGTACTCCCTGTCATGTCTGCAGAGAGGCACTCAATGGAATACTTGTCTGGAAGGGGTCCCAGGACCTGCAGGTTGTGCCTGGGCTGGTAACAGAATTCTAGCTTCCCTGGAGGTTTCTCAGGAAACAGACATGGGTGGTGAGGCTGGGAGTGGGTGGAGAGATGTGTGTGTCCCATCCATCCTGTGCTGCTTTTCTCCTCTCTCTGGGGTCCCTGGGTCCCCCAAGCCATGCTGATTCCCAACCCCAGGAGCAGAGGACTCTTGCTGAAGAGGCTGCCAGTGAGAGTGTCCCTTATATCATCATCCCCTTAGCTACCTTCCCTTTCTTTCTGCAGCTGGCTTGGGATGATGTTAGAGACCCAAGGTTGGCCTGACCTGCAGCTGTGGTGCTGCCTGCTTGGGTAGACCTCTCGTGGCCTTTCTCTGAGTAGTGGAGCCCTTAAAGGTCCTTGGCTCTCAGCCTTGGCCACAAGTGAAAGCTGACCTATGTCTGTCCAGTGGGACGGGGATCCCCACAAGTGCCCACAGACCCCAAGGTCTGACCTTGCCAGTCAAGGTCTTGGGAGTTTATAACCAGAGCCTGTCTACTTGAGTCCCTCTTGCACCCCACCCCCATCAATCGGTTCTCTCGTGGGCTGGGGGCTGCCTGGCCTTGATCAATGGGTGTTCTGGGGCACACACAGATGGTTTCCTGGCCTTAGGAATGAATTTCCCAGGTGTTCCTTTCCCTCTCCTCCCAACCCCCTCCATCGTGGAACGGGAAGACTAGTGTAGTGCTGAACCTGGGTCCAGTACAGGGCATCCCTCGGTTGATCTGGGGAAGGTGGCATCCCTGGGGCCAGCATCCGGGCCCCACTGCTTGCCCTTGGCTTTGCAGCAGAGGGTCTTCAGGAGCCGGATCCGACCCTGTGGAACCAGCCCATTGAACTGCCCTCTGGCGAAGGCCCCTTGGAGAGTACTACTAGCCCCGGCCAGGAACCTGAGGCCACCAGCCCGCCCGTCCCCACCTCCGCGCCCGGACCAGAGGACAGCACTGCGCAGGAGCAGCTGGACCAGGACAACGGTAAGGCCTGGCGTGGGACAGGGAGAGGATGGAGAGAGAAGGAAGGGAGACCGGGCTGGAAGACCAGGAGGGGAGGGAAGTGAAGGGGGCAGAGAGTCAAGGGCGGCTGGGCCAGGGTGACACAGTCCTCCATCCTTCGCAGGCTTACTGGGGCCCGGCGCCATTGCGGCCATCGTGATCGCTGCCCTGCTGGCCACCTGCGTGGTGGTGGCGCTCGTGGTCGTGGCGCTGAGAAAGTTTTCCGCTTCTTGAAGCCAATAAAGGAGCCGTGGCCGCCCGCCCGCGGCGCGACTTGCTGCACCCGGCTGCGACCCTGTGTCTGCGCGTGCGCGAGCCCGCGTGCAGGTGCCGCCGCGTGGGGGCGGGGGCGGGACGGGCGCAGTGTGCCTGGGGCCGTGGGTGGAGGGCTCCAGGCGTGCAGCACGTGCGCGTGTGGACACGTGCACTGGGTCCCAGGCAGGGATAGGTGAGGGGAGCCCATAGGGTACCCGGAGCATCACTGGACCTGCTCCCCAACAGCAGCCCCGGGGCCTGGGGACCACAGAACTGGCTCTGGGGAACCGCTGGAGCCAGTGGGAGGGATGACGGTACGGCCAGGCGGGTCTCAAGACCAAGTGGGATATGGTGGAGGATTGACAATTCAGAGCCCCAGTCCTGGTCTAGGCACGTTCCTCCCAGGGCTCAGAAAGCTCCGCTCCCCAACACCCCCCCCCCCCCCCCC